GCATCGTCAACTAGCACGTCAGGGAGTTCTGGTGGTTCGTCAGGCTCATACTCTTGATCAACAGCATGTTTCAAAACCTCCTGATCAACAAGCTCTTCAATATTTGCAGCCTTGACATCATCAATTGATGGCGGATTGCTCGAAATGGAAATGCCTGGGTACAACCCTTCTCGTATCATGTTGTACCTGCCTTTGCATGGGAAGTGTAATCCGATGTCGGGAACGGCGATCTGATGGACTCTTAATGGTTGAATCTCCGCACTGAAGTCTGATTCCATGACATCCTTCAATGGTAGCACCATGAACTCCTTTCTCCACACAAAATTGGACTGAACGGCATATCCCAAGAATATCCCTGGGTTTGACGTCGGTTCGAACCTGAGAGAGGACTTGGCTTTGTTCTTGGGGCCGATCCAGTAATCAATCCTCAACCCAAAGGGAACCAAAGGGCCTTTGAACTTCTCACCGAACCGAAGCGACCAAGGCGAACTACCCTCCCGGGCGTCGACGATATTGTTTGCCATGCATGCATGCCTGGCAGCGTGAGCCCAATATTGATGGTGTAGGCCTGCTTGCTCTAGGTTTACCCTTGTTCCATCGATGACGGACCGAATTGATCTTTCAGCCATAGCATTGGTCTTAGAGACGTATGCAAAGCTGGTTTGATGTCTCCATCCTAGCCTTTCGGCAGTCGCGATGAGTTCTGGTGAATTGTCGGAATAAAATACTCCTACATCATCAGTCGAACGGACAAAATGCTTGAAGGCTGCTATGCATTCACGTGTTGATCGACGGGCGGCCGGATAGACATACCTGAAATCCGTTGCCACGTCTTTCACGACCAATGCGACGCGAGCCCCATCGATGTCCATTTCCTCATCGTCACGAATAACAAGATGGTCAGCAGTCAAATGTTGCCCGAAATGATCCGCCTCTACCTGGGTTGAACCACCCTTGCTATACGATGGACGCTTGGTCATCTTCGCTCTCGAGCAGGCTTGACAAAAGGGGTTCTTTGGGGTATGAGTCAACAGATGTTGAATGGATCGTGCTTCTTCCTTGAGAGCTTTCTCTCCCCTATCCCTCTTCGGGTCCAACGGCTTCTCCACCAACCTTTCATCCACGGGCTCGGTATCATCTTCAACAGGATCCTCGCCGATGGGGTTGTCCTCATCATCCTGGACTTCAATTGCCTCTTCAGCCGGTGACGCGGGCAGAGGGATCATTGGTCGCAGCCCCTTTGACCGATCGTTCGTACCGTAAGGTTGACCTATGGCGGACATTGCAACACCTGTGGTGGATGGCAAGTATGGAACATAATCCTCTACTTCAAGCTTGACTTTGGTTCCGTCTGGTTTCTTGAAGTACGGCCTACTGTAAGCGGGCCAATGGAAGCTCCATCCTGCGTCGATGCAGCGTTGTCCTACCGATACGACGGCTGGGCTATCTTCCAAGACATAAGGATTGATATCAGTTCCCAACACGGGGACATTGACTCTGGCTTGATCAGTGGCTTGAAAGACTCCGTTGGCAGTAAGAAGGCTGACCGGTTTGGACGATTGTGACACTTCATCCGAATGTAGCATGTGTCTGGATACAAGATCGTGTGCGCTTCCAGTATCTGCAATCCATGCGATCTCAGTGGCTGGCACTGTTGGACATGACCTCCTCTCAAAACACTTGATGCAACCTATATCAGAGTTGCACAGGTACGAACATTCTGCCGGCAAGGACAACAGCTCGTTCCTGACAGCATTCTGAAGGTGTGATGCTGCAATGGATGCGTCCTCAGTGGCGACACGAACTGCCTCAGCATGCTCCGGCCGACCTGGTGTAAAGGGTCTTCGTTTCTTCTTACTCCGGGGTTGAACGGACCTCCAACTGGAAGAAGACTCAACAGCATGATTGAAAACGTTTGGTTGATCGTCAAAACGAACTCTTTGCGTAACAAAACTGTCAATTTTTCTGTGTTGTCAAAATCGGTGCACATAGTGTTTGATGCGGAAAGGACTGGCATGGCCACGCTTCCCAGCGGGCGAGTGATGAGGACGGAGGATCCCTGAGAGACCACTGCGGCCATGACCACTGCTCGAAGGAGGCATACCGCTGCCGGTGCATTGGAAGAAGAAGACTTCCCACCTTTTCTCCTCTGACTCTCGGAGCCAGTTGAGTTTTCGGAGCCTGATGATCCTCGGGAGCTGCTTCGCTTGCGAGGTTTCTTGTCTTTCTTCTTCTTCTTCTTTTTGTCCTCTTTCTTCGCAGGGACAGTCTTTTCAGGGTGTTGGAATGCGCAGTCTTTTCCTCGGTGGCAATGTCCTGCCTTCCAAAACTTGCAAGTCTCCTTGCGAGATCCTGGTGTCAGCGATCTTGACCGAGACTGGCTGCGATCCTTGCCCTTTCCCTTTCCTTTGCTTTTCTCGCGGCCTTTTTCGTGCTTGTAAGGACATGATGATCCGCGCTTGCATTTTCCGGTCTTTTGGAACTCGTAGCAGATGCCTTTCTTCTCCTCCGGAGCTGGCATGGTTGTGTCTTTGGACCCGAGCGAACGCTTCGTGGCGTCGCGCATCTTTTCCAACCTCTTCCGTTCTAGATAGGCCCGGGCAGCAGTAATCAGGAAGTCATATGTTCTTTCTTTGCTTCCATCGGCTGCACGGTCGTACAAGGCCAAGTCATGCTCAAGCGGCTTGAAACGCTTCACTGCCAGGTGAAAATAGGCTTCCAGAACACTGTTTTCCGGTTCCTTTTTCATTCCGGCAAGAACGCTATCCCATTTATTTATAAAGCCTTTGAGGTCATCGTTGACCATTTTGACGGACATGAGGTCTTCGAGCCCGTAGATTGCTCCATGCTTTATGCTTGTGGCAAAATACTCGTGGAACCGAAGGAGCAAGTGTCTACCCTTCACGTTCTTGTCTTCACGAGCACGCAGCTCCTTGAATGTGGCAATCTGCCGACCGAGGTCCCCCTCAGCGCAATTTGTTAAGCTTGCAAGAAGCTTTGCGTCGAGGGTTGCAAATCCCTCTGAATCATCCAAGGCATCAATGGTTTGGGAATCTTTGTATACTTTCCCAACCCAAGATCTTGCTTCATCCGGCTTCGCTGAAGCTGCAGCAATATTGTCCCTCACCTTGATCTTCCAATCTCTGTACTTCTCAGGCGTGGGGAACTTGGGAATGAGAATTTTGTCAGCTTCTTTGGCTTTACTCTCATGATCCTTGTCTTTCGACTTCTTTTGCTGCTTCTTCAACTCTTTGCGAATGATGCGTGCAAGACGCGATGATTCAGAGCTTGAGTCATTTGAGTCATTACTCCCTCCTGATGAACTTGGTGACGATGGTGATGGGGAAGGAGAGCGTTTCTTTCTGCGCTCCCTCGAGCGGCCCCTCTTAGGGCTCTTCTCTTTCTTCTTATCCTTACCTTTCTTCTTCTTGTCTTTCCTTGATTTGTCACCACCCTCTTCATCAGCATCGGATGGATGAGGCTCATCACCGCCTTCGATCCCGGGCTTCTCCAACTGAGTGCGAAGGCCCGCTGGAGGCAAAGCTGGGGACACCTGAGAGCCAGGTGGCTGCACTAATGGTGCAGGCACTCGGTTCCCCGAGGCGTTGTCAAACCTCTCTCTCAACTCCTTGATGATTCGACTCTGTTCTGCTAACTCTGACCGAAGTGCATCTTCTCTTTGCTTGGCAGAGGCGCGTTCGTTCTCAACGACGGTGTGTCGTTCGAGCGAAAGGCGATCTAAGTAAGCCCGTTGTTCTTGAAGATGTTGATTTTGATGGGCTTGGTTCATGTCACTCAATCGTTGATTGGCTAAAGCCTCAATCTGTTCCCTAGACTCCTGGACAGCCACTTTGGCTTGGTTCTCCACTACGTCTCTAAAATGCCTAGCCTCCTCAGCTACTTGTTGCCCGTGCTCTGCCAAAATGGCCTGATGCCGCAACTCTGCGATCTGAGCTACCTGTGCTGACCTGTCCTCATTGACGAAGACTGCTTGTTGATGGATCTGTCTCGCATCAACGTTCTGGACATTCATTACAGGAGAAAACTCAGGTTGAAACGGCGATGGTGCTTGACCACTAGGCAACAGGTCCCCCTGTGCACTGAACGTTGGTGGCGCAACTGGTACACGCAACTCCAGCGGAACAACAGGGAGATCAGCAGCAGGTGAACTGGACATCGCAGGCGAAGTAGGAACGTAGCCTGATCGTGAGCGGTCACCACGGGAACCCTCATCATCAGCCATGGCCTCTAGATAGTGCACTACCTAGGGTGGGGTGAGACCACAGCTAGTAGAAAGCACGTACCGCACTTATGGCGATACGGCTGATAACCTGTAGATACAGGTAAACGACCGATAGCTACCAACAAGTCGCACCTGGTTTTCCTTGAGCCAAACGATAGTAAAGTGAGACATGTATACGACATCCTAGCGTGAAACAACAGGATATTCTTGTCCAACAGCTTTTGTGGGACACCCTCGATAGGCACTCTTGTAGGACTCTTTTCGGACATTCTTATGGGACGCTCTTGTCCGACACGTTGCGCGACACTTGTGCTTGACACTCCTGTAAAACACTCTTTCCGGGTACAAGGACACTCGGCTTCTGAGGCACTCGTGTCGCGCAATCTTGTAGCATCGCCCTTGTAGCTCATATAAGCCAGTTTTGTCAGCTCCCTTTTAGCGATACAGGAGCCATTGCGCCCCTTCCAATCCGTAAAGTCTGGCTTCACTTGGTGAAGGGCCAGCTTACTGTTCGATCCCAAGGCTCTGGATCGGACCGCGTGGGAGGCACGCCGCCCAGGAAGCTGGCTTGTAGTTGACCCAGGCATACGAGGCGAGGTCATCTACTTGACGGTAGGAGCAAGGACGCTACTAGGAGCAAAGGGCATCGCTACTAGGAGCAAGGACGCTACTAGGGGCTCCTGGCCCTACTACTTGGGATTGAATGATTGGGCCCATGAGTGAACGGGGGCAAATTGTTATATACCCGCTCCTGTCTCCCGTGCAAGAAACCTGTGGAGTTTCTTTTCAAGCGATTTCCCAAGTCTGGGCCATTTGGCCAGGCACTCAAAGAAACTGTCTAGCATTAGCCAGGCAGCAAGGCAGTGCTCAAAAAAAGGTGTGCCAAATGAAGCGCTTCCAAGGGATATCTCGCCAATCCGGACCGATGAATTTCTTGCAGGTCTTCTGGACATTTCGGCCCCGCGGATCACCGCATTTGCGGTAGAGTTCGCAAAGCAGCGGCGACAAAGAATGGCAAGCACCAGGTGACGTTGTGCAACCAACGTGCTGCGTTGTTGCATCAAGTGATTCCAGCAGTACCTCACATCCAATCAAATCAAACAAGGAAAACAAGACGGTACAATAAATGTAGGATGATGAAACGATTCTTGTGGAAGGCTCACTAGGTTCCAGACTGTTTGGTTCTCAACTCCGCCGCTTCACGCAAGGCTGCGACGGTTGCAACACCATTCAGTTTGACATGGATCTCACACGAACATTTGTTCAAAGGCGCGTTGTGTGGTACCGCAGCTTGTGGCATGCGCTTGAGGAACCATAGCTTTTCGTGGCAAGTGTACTTTGCCTACTTGAAGACATCTAAGTTTTGTGCGCGCTGCATCAAGTGATTCTCGAAGATGCGCCGTACAAAAGACAAAAAAAAAGGATATTCACCACACTGTGCTGCATTGATGCAATTACTCTGCGGTGCGTATCTATTTCCGAACACTCCGAGAAACAGGACATGATTACACAACCAAGGTAGCTTGAACAAACCTACATATACTTGAAGGAGAGTTCTGCAGGAACAAGAATCTTCGCATCATTACACCGTTCAGGGTTTGTCGGGGTACTCTTTAATTGAAACTCTAATTCAAAGGAAAGGTGCAGGGACAAGATCCCCCCAAGGAACGACTGCGACAATGTTGTTCTCCAATGGCAGCTCATTGACCTCCTAAGAGAGAACGATAAACAGTCTGAGTCATGAGCCAAGACAAACGCATCTGTTTCATGATGAATACGCAAAACATCTGTCGCCATGGGGCAAAGCCAAAAGTGCGGTAGGCGGTAAAGGCACCACCAACAGGCATCCAAACCAGTGTAGGGATTCTCTCCAAACTGCCGAGGACTTGTGCAAGACCACCACCCAAGGAGTGCCCAGTGAGGATCAAGTTGTAGCCATCCTGACATCGAAAAAACATATCAACGCAGGAAGCCAAGTGTGCTGAAAGGGAAACGGGCAGAAGGTCTAAAATTACAGGACCGGAAATCCCGGTGTGTGCAGCTTGCGCGTTTTCCCAAGTGGAGGCAAGAGCGGAAGAAAAAGGAATGATAGCGGACGAGTGTATGTGTATGATGAGCGTAGATGTGAACATATTGTCATGAGTGAGTGAGAGAGAGAGAGAGAGAGA